AGGCTTCTGTATAGATGCTGTGATCCTGTCAGGGTTGCACAATGCAACATGTTCAGATCCCTTCCCCTGAGACATGTACTCAGGACCTGGTTCATCTATTTACAGTTTGACAAAGAGGCTTGGCTCTAAGAAGCTGAATCCTAAAAGGCATTTTCAGCATTTATCCATTCATTGATTTGCAAGTTAGAATTACATAGAGAGAAATTGACTATCCACCCACTTATTCACTTCCCTATTAATGGACCAGTGGCCAGGCCTGAACCAGGCTGAAGCGAGGAGCCCTGGTCTTCCACATGGATGACAGGGCCCAAGAATAGGCTCACTTCCACTGCCTTCCTAGATGCACTAGCAGGGAGTTGGGTCAGGAGTGGAGCAGCCGGAACTCAACCTGGTGGTCATGGGAGGAGGGCACCAAAGGCAGCAACTTAATCTACTGTGCCACGGTACTGACCTTTGGTTAGCATTTCTTCCATGACCCCTCTTCCTTTAAATAATTTTTAAAAAATATTTATTTGTTTTTATTGGAAAGGCAGATATACAGAGAGGAGGAGAGACAAAGAGGAAGATCTTCTGTCCGATGATTCACTCCCCAAGTGAGCGCAACAGCCGATGCTATGCCCATTTGAAGCCGGGAACTAGGAACCTCTTCTGGGTCTCCCACGCGGGTGCAGGGTTCCAAAGCATTGGGCCGTCCTTGACTGCTTTCCCAGGCCACAGGCAGGGAGCTGGATGGGAAGTGGAGCTGCCGGGATTAGAACCGGTGCCCATATGGGATCCTGGTGCGTTCAAGGCGAGGACTTTAGCCGCTAAGCCACACTGCTGGACCCTAAATAATTTATTTTTTTAAAAGATTTATTTATTTTTATTGGAAAGTCAGATATATAGAGGAGAGAAAGAGAGGAAAATCTTCCAACCATTGATTCACTTCCCTGGTAACTGCAATAGCCAGAGCTGAACCAATCTGAAGCCAGGAGCCAGGAGCTTCTTCTGGGGCTCCCACATGGCTGCACAATGCCAAGGCATTGGGCTCTTCTCACATGCTTTCCCAGCCCACAAGCAGGGAGCTGGACGGAGTCCACTGGGATCTTAATGGCACCCATATGGGATCCTGGTGCATGCAAAGCAAGGACTTCAGCCTAGGCTACTGCGCCAGGTCCTACAGACACAGAATTAATTTTTTTACATGTTAACTGTACCACATGTTTTTTTAATCATAATTCCATCATGTGCCACATGTTTTAAACCCTGACATATCTCCTTCTAATAAAATAAAACCAAAATTTATCTTAGTGAAACAAGATACACTTGAAGACTTAAGTCTTCAAACATTATTGCACTTTTAACTTTCATAATTTGACAAAGCAGTCACAAAAGTATATGCAGTTAGGTATTTTGTTTTTCTTTTCTTTTTTTCTTTTTAACAAATTGATCAACTACCCAAGTGAAGCATGACAGCAAATATCTGAGGAAACAGAGACTTGGAGGTGGACCGAAGCAGTGCACCCTGGAGGGATAGCCTCTGGAGGGATGGCCTCGTCCTTGCATCTGCAAAGTCGACAGTTTCAGAACTATGGAAACCACTTGAGTGGCACCCTGGAGCCATGCGCATGGGGACCTGGGCTGACGTTGAGGCGCCATTCCCCAGGTGCTGGGGCTGTTGGGAGGTGGGTGTGGCTCCTCCCTCGTCTCTCCTTTCACCCAGATGTAGGAAGAAGGAAAAGATAAAAAGATAATGTAGACACAAAGGTCCTGGACCCTTCCCACCCTAATCAGCTGTGGAAACATCATCAAAAATAAAATTAAAAAAATATTTTTGAAATTATTATTGGAAAAGCAGAGTTACAAAGAAAGAGAAGCAGCGAGAGCTTCCATCCATTGGTTCAATCCCCAAACGGCCACAATGCCCAGAGCCGTAGTGGTATGAAGCCAAGAACCAGGAGCTTCTTCTGGATCTCCCTTATGGTCACAGGGCCCAAGCACTTGGGCCAACTTCTGCTGCTTTCCTAGGTCATTAACATGGCACTGGATCAGAAGTGGAACAGCAGGTACTTAAGCCGGCATCCATACAGGATACTGGCAAAACAGTCAGAGGTTCACCCCGCATGGCACCAGTGTGCAGGTTAATTCTAACAGACCCGAAATACATTTAAGTAGCCATGACTGTCCTGTGTGGTTTGTTAGGCATGGAGTTTTACAAACATGAGTTGTGTTAGCACTGACAGTTATCCTATGACAGTTATCATAGCAGCTGGGGTTATCATATCTTCTCCAGGTCACAGCAAGAATAGCCAATAGTGCGGTGGAACTTGCAGCCCATTCCTCTGTCGCAGCCTGGAGCTGACAGCCCATGCGTTTCACTATGCTTTTAGGCTGCTTTGGTGATCCACTGTCGGTCAGGATTTCTTCTGATAGCTCTGTGGAATGGATCCATGAGGGCAGCCTCAATAAAAATTGTCCATGCACGGCCCAAAGCCTTGGGACCCTGCACCCACTTGGGAGACCTGGAGGAAGTTCCTGGCTCCTGGATTCAGATTGGTGTATCACCTGCCATTGCGGTCGCTTGGAGAGTGAATCATCAGATGGAAGACCTTCCTCTCTGTCTCTCTTCCTCCATATAGCTGACTTTGCAATAAAAATAAAATAAATCTTAAAAAATATTGTCCATGCAATCTTCACCAACCCAGTAATAAGTGGCGCCTGGTCCATTCCTTGACAACAGACTGTAGGCTTTTAACGCAGCCATTTAGCACCGTGATTCTCAAGGTTGCTGTAGGTCACACCCTTCAGAATTGGGTGCCTGCCACTATCAGGGCACCCTGTGCAGTATGGAGAGCTGGCAATGCTGTCAGCAGAGGACCCTCGAGAGACAGCTCATCCCATCCAACTGCTCCTGGAGAGACTTCCCGGCCTCCATCCTGGCTGACCCGGTGGCAGCCAGCAGACAGAAAGGGAGGCTGTGCTTAGCATCTCTAAATTGCATCTTTCATCTTGAAGGATCAGTTAGTTGTGTCTTTTAGTCTTCAAAATTTTAGAATGTGTGGATTTTTTTTTCTCAGTTCTTCTGGCCACAAGCTCTTTTCTTCATTCATCTTTTTCTTGTGGTGTCTTACATGGAGGCCTAGTCACCTGCCAGTTCCCAGCTTCTTTGTGTAAACCCTCAGCTCCATCACTTACATTGTATTCCAAGCTGTCCCAGGCAAATGCGTTTCCATGTGGCATTGTGTATGTCATTATTTTCCCACCTCTGTGTGTGCTGACCTGTTACCCTGTCCCTGGGCCAGAGTTGCTAGGTTACTGACCTGCTGGTCCAGTGTCCATGCTGGCCCTTCTGAGCCAGGCTGCTGTGGCACATAACCAACTCCCAGGTTACAGTGCAGCTCCTTGCTTCAAGGAGGACTCCTCTCCAGCTCTAGTGTTACAAATCATCTGCGTTCCTGGGGCTCCACGGAAGTTCTCACTCCACGGTCCCTGAGAAGGAACAGCCCTAGGATGGTCTCATCTCAGAGGGAATGTGAAAATGCTAAACTGGCTCACGTCTGACATGTTCTGCTTGAACACATGGCCAGATATTCAGTGTTTATCTGAGAGGAAGGCTTATCTCCAAAAGACAGGCCCAAGGACACGGGCATGTGTTTCTTTTCTCAGCAGAGTGGGAGTTAATATACATAGAGTTTAGAAATTGTGCAGGTCATATTATTGGGTGTACAAATGTTGCGTTGTTGTGTGTGACCGTATTGTCTTCTCTCCCTGTGTTATGAGCATGCTCATGAATTCCACACTGTGTGATATTAACACCCCTGCTTTGAAGACAGAACGGTGTGTGTGTGTGTGTGTGTGTTCCTACATAGGAAGTGAGTTTCACAGAATGTCAAAATATGTCAATCTTACAACTAAAGATTAAATTAAAAACAAGGACAGCAAGAAGGAGGATTTAAAAATAGTTGCTTGCCCACCTCTAGGTGTGTTTCCTAAAGCAGGGGTTTCACACTGTTGAACTCTTAGCAGAGGATGAACTTGTGGCAGTTACCAGAGTGTGAGCAAGATCCCCTACAAGGATGAGAGAGCTGGAAACCCCATGGGAGAGGCGTTGATGAAGAACGGGGTCCCACTGAGAGAGCCGTTACTGCTCCAAAAGCTGCCTGGGTTTTTCTTTCCTTTTCATAACCAAAAAAAAGTTTATTTGTTTAGAAATCATAGTGACAGGAGCCAACATGGTAGCTCAGCAGGCCGATCCTCCACTTGACAGTGCCCACATCCCCACTTGGGTGCTTGTTCTAGTCCTGGCTGCTCCACTTTCAATCCAGCTCTCTGCTTACGGACTGGGAAGGTAGTGGCAGATGGCTCAAGTACTTGGGCCCCTGTACGCATGTGGGCGTCCTGGAGGAAGGTCCTGGTTCCAGGCTCCAGGCTCCGGGCTCCGGGCTCCCGGCTTTGGGTCGGCTCCAGCTGTTTTGGCTGTTTGAGGTGTGAAACAGCAGAGAGAAGATTGCTGTTTCTGTCTCTCCTTTTCTTTATAATTCTGCCTTTCAAATAAAAAAAATCTCTTTTAAAATATTTATTTTTATTGTAAAGTCAGATATACAGAGGAGGAGAGACAGGGGAATATATTCCATCCACTGATTCACTCCCCAAGTGACCACCACGGCTGAGCTGAGCTGATCCAAAGCCAAGAGCCATAGGCCTCTTCCAGGCATCCCATCTGGGTAATAGGCCCCTAAATACTTGGGTCATTCTCTGCTTCTTTTCTTGGGCTATCAGCAGGGAGCTTAGCTGGAGGTGGGGCAGTTGAGACATGAACGGGGGCCCACGGGGGATGCTGGCATTCCAGGTATCAGCTTTTTGCCCACTATGCCACACTGCTGGACCCTCTCTATTTTTTCTACTTAAAAAAGCCTGAGTGGTAAGTATTTCGTACCTAGCCAGTTTGAACCCATACCAAGACATGATTTCCAAATGGCGTATAAGATTTGAAATGAACACACACTTGTTTGTCGTTTCAGGGACTTGCCCCAGTATGGGCAGAAACAATGGCAGTCGTATTTTGGAAGGACCTTTGATGTTTACACCAAACTCTGGAAGTTCCAGCAGCAGCATCGGTAAAGGTGTTTTCCAGTTGCGGACATGTGGAGGCCCATCCCATAGTGGTCACAGTCTGTCTCATACCCCTTTCCCCTGCTTTTATCTTTGCCTTCCAAATGCTATCTTAATAACCAACATGAAAACATTTTGATTTTTTTTCCCATGTACTTAAGCCTTTTTAAGATGTAGTATTTTAAGCTGATCTTGAAGAAGATTCTAAGTCTGGCTGTAGGTGGGACAGTTCGTGCTTCATTCTAGAAGGCATGTTGGTTACTGGCCAAAGCTGTGGGGGGAGGGGCCATTGCTTCTCATTTCGTGACCAGAACTCAAAGTGGCTCCCTTTTGTGTTGTATCATACTTTAAATAGACATGTAATAAATGCTTTTCAAATCTGCTGGCATGATTATGTGGATATCTCATGGAAAATTCATGAGCTTTGCTAATCACAGATCTGATTCTTTCTGCAATGGATCACCTCTTAACTTTGCTTTCTTGTTTCCCATCTACAACAGACAAGTCTTAGATAATCGGTATGGCTTGAAGCGGTGGCAAATAGGGGAAATCGCTTCCAAGATCGGGCAGCTGTACTACCATTATTAGTAAGTGGCATTGGTAAGAATAAAGGTGTCGTCCTTACTCCCACCCAGCCTGCAAAGCTATGCAGAGCGTGCATCCCTGCTGCAGGCAAGCATGGCATCATGAAGATCAAAAACTCTGGATTGCTTTAAAATTTTTTTTTGCATCAAAATTGGTCTACTTTTTTAACTTCATTCTTGCAAAAAAATTTTGATGGAGCTTGGTAATCCTGCCCTTAAGTCAAGGAATGAAGACATATTCCTGGTGGGATGCTAAATCTCATTATCCAGAAATGATACCAGAGAGTTTAAAAAAAAAAAACTTGGATAATTTCTGTATAACTTTATAAAAAAATATTTCTCCTGCATTTTGGCATGCCATTTCCATTATTAAAATCACTCTCCCAGGCAGCATGCGTTCTCTGAAAGTGCCTTGTAAAACTATGAATGTTAGACAGAGAAACTGATGCATTGGCATCCCCTGAAGATTTCAATGGATTGCTCAGTCCAGTTCCGAGTTGCGGGAGGAATTAAGTGAAGCAGTGGGCCAAGGGATCAGTGATGCCGATGTGTGCTTAGGAGCGGCCGTCAAAGTGTGGTCTCGGGACCGGAGCAGAGGGGAGCACGCTTTTTGAGGAGTCCCTGCAAAGCGGGAGAATAATGTCTACTTTAGGTTGGCATCAAAAAAGGCTTGGGAGTCCTGGGGGTATTGTTATCACTCTACGTTTAGCAGTGACGTGCTGCTTTGCTGATCTCAGACTGTTCTCCCCATCCCCTCGTGTAGAGGAGCAAAGCAGCATGAAGCAAGCGTCTCTCCTGGTTCACAATGCTTCTTGCCTTGCAGCTTACGCACTTCTGAGACCAGCTACCTGAATGAAGCTTTCTCCTTCTACTCGGCCATCAGACAGCGATCTTACTATTCTCAAGTCAACAAAGAAGACAGGTATGCCTCTCTTTTGCTCCAAGGATAAACCTCAGAACGTTCCATCTGTGTGGCAGTCAGACAAGCACATGACAGGCCCTCTAGAGCATGCAGAAGTGAAAGTCACGTGAAAGTTGTATATAATGTAGATGTTGAGACAGGTGTCATGGTGCCAGGCTCGAGCCAAAGCCCACAGGAGGGCTGGGAGTTATTTCTGTGTAAGAGACTGGGGTCACACTGGTTTCCTAGAGGCAAAACTACCACCAAGTAAGGTCCGGCTGACACTCTTCTTCCTATTTAGTCTGCAATCTTAATTCATACGTCTTCAAAAGCCTTTTGACAGCTGTCCTGCAGGACAAGGAGAAGACTGCTCACTTCTGCAGTTTCAAAGTTTCTTTCGTAAACCCAATAGGTTTTTGCAGTTGGTTAGCCAGCCTACTGAAAAACAGACTAGCCAATTATGTAGAATGCATTCATTCCCCATAAGAATCTATTGAAGAAATACTGCCGACTCTGTGGCAGATGCTTGGGTAGGAGAGGCAAAAAAAAAAAAAAAAAAAAAAAAAAGGCAGGCCTGTCCCTTTCAGAAGATTGTCTTTAAGTAGGAACCACAGACACATCTGTACAAGAAGATTGCAATGTTATTAATTCCAGATGAATGTGGAACTGTGGGAGGCTGTGTTGCTGGCATTCTAGGAATTGTTGGAAGAGAAAGTTCAAGGTCTGGATGTTCTCTGTCCTCCCAGCCACAGAACTCATAGTGCGTAGTGGAATGATCCTCTCAGCCGTGGAGGAACGAGTAGCTTTGGCGTGTTTCTCAGGAAGCGTGTTGGAAGCTTCCTAGCCGAACAGCCACATTTTGGGGGAAGTCCCAGTTTTGTAAAAAAATCGACTTTTGTTTCCTGTACGTCTTGTTCAAGCTTGTCTAGGCTTGATACAGGATAGAGCGGAGATGTTAGACTCTCCATTTTCCTCTGATGTCTTGTTGTCAGTCTCGGACTTCACCTTCTGTCATTTTGGTTGGTTACTTTGTTCTCAGTGTTCATGATGGCTGCTTCACATTCCCCTCCAACTCTAATTCTTTTCTTTATTTTGCGTCCATGTTACATAATTTGTCTTAATTCTTGATGCAGTGAAAAACAAGAAAAAAATCCAAAAGGCTGTGCCACATTTTATCAGCATTCAGAATACATCCAGGCAGAGAACTATTTTAAGCAATAATAAAATATTTTGTGTAATTCACTTTTCTGCATTTTCTGCTCCAAAAGGAAAATTGGCCTTGGCCCCCTCACTTAAAGCCCAACAGCGTGATTTATTGCAGTCGTTTTCTGCACTAATAGCAAGTACCATACCTGAACTGCTTCCCTTTGCTGCCTTCTACAGCAGGACAGCTTAACAGAAGTAGACTTATTTAGAAGCAGGATGACAAAAAAAATCTGCTTTGAGCCAGTACAGTGGAATCAAGGGGTAATCCAGCATGTGCAAATCTTGACCTTGTTCTCTGCGCTTGGGCTTTGTTTGGTGGGGCGGAGGGCATTGTGGGTGAGTTCTTCGCTCACGTAGAGATGCCAAAGTAACAACCAGCAGCAGTCAGCAGATAAATCCCAGCGTTTCACAGTTCATTTAAAAGGCAGAAGTCTTCTCTCTGTGAAAAGGAGCAAGTTCCCTTCTTCTGCACTGTCGCAGCACCTAAGGATTCTGTGCAGGAGGGTTGCTCCCAGCAGTCAGCCCACACAGTCCTTCCTCCTGGCTATGGCAAAGCCTGCTCTGTTTAGACAGCCAGGGCTCACCCTGGGCAGAGTCACACCTGGAGGAGGTGAGGCTCCTAAAGACGCCTGCGCTTGTGGGAGACGTGGCCGCTGGCTGTCTGGAGGAACAGTTTCCCAGGCAGATGGGTAGCTCAAGAAGCCCTGTCTTAATAGCAGCAGACCTGCAGGTTGGACAAAGGGGGGAAGCTTGCAAAGAGTGCATGCTGACATTCGTGTTGACAGTTTGGACGTCGTTGTAAGGTGGAAATATGCATGTAAAATGGACAGCATTGGCCCTTGTTGATGATGGTTGGAGAATGCAGAAAGCTGCTCCCTCTTCGGCTTCCACAGTTGGGTGTGGAGGCGGCCCTTGGGCTGCGGGCTCTTGGACGTGGTTGGGATGGCTGCTTATATGTGTAAGTGCATAGCAGTGACACATTTCATCTGTGATTTGCTGCTATTTAGCACAATGGCTCTTACCGGCCTCTGTGTGGTGGTCTCGTACGGCGTTGGCAAGCTACGACCAGAATACAAATTGAGTCCTTGCTGCTGTAGCACTGCCTTACTGCTTAAAATTGATTTTACCTTTGGGAAGGGTTTTTTAAAAAAAGAAAAAAGGGAACGCACAAATGTGTTACAGTTACCAAATATGGCCTTCAAAGCTAAAAATGTTTACTATCTGGCACTCCATAGAAAGTGTGGTAGTTGTGTAATCCTGAAGGGTTTGTGTACTGAGGATGTGGTTGCTGTTGTACCTGTTACTGTTGTCAATCAAAAATTAGAGGATGAATGCTACAAATATGAATTCCCCTCGTCCTTTTACCAGTTTTCTCTCTGTTCTGAATCCCTCCTTTTTTGTGAAGCTTAATTTGAAAGTTGAGAGTTACAGAGAGAAGAGGAAGGGAAGACAGAGAGGAGAGAGGCCTTCCATCAGCTGGTTCACTCCCAAAGTAGCTGGAACAATCAGGACTTAGGCCAGGCTGAAGCCAGGGGCTTCATCCAGATTTCTCATTTGTGTGGGCCGCCTTGCATTGCTTCCCTAGACCAGTAGCTGGGAGCTGGATCGAACTAGAAGCAGCTGAGGCGTGATCTGGTGCCCACAGGGGATGCTGCAGGTTCCGCAGATGGCTTTACCTGCCACACCCAGCCCCAAGCCCTGCATTTACTTCAGTGTTCTGGTGTACTAGAGAACCTAAAATCTCGTCTGTTCCACAGCCCAGAAATCTTGCATTAACGAACCATCCCTTTGTATGAATAGCTCGGGTGTCAGGGAAGCAGGGAAACCCCAAATGCTTTGGGGACCCTGCAGAGGATGGTTAGTTCTGTTGCAGAAGAAAACTAGGAAGAGAAAAGCTAGAACTGCAAGAAGGACTGTGGCTAACAGAGGTTAGTAAAGTCAAAGGGACAAAATCCTAGGTAGCAATAACCCAAACAAAGGAAGGGGAGAAGGAATTACATCATTGTGATAAGATCCACTTGGTATTGGAAAGAGGTCTACAACAGGTACAGATACTTGTTAAAACACTGAGAAAAAGATTTTTAATAAATGTGATTTAATGAGTGTGATTTCAGAAAATGAAGAGAGCAGTAACACATGATAACCATTACCATAGAAAGCAGGAAGGAAAATGAATCCAAGAAAAGGATGAGTAGCACAAAATAACAAAGTTGGAACAAGTCGAAAGGTAGTACTATTCATAGTAAGTGAAGTCAGTCCCCTCTTCCCAGTGAAAAGACAGTACACCTAATGGAAAAAATCAGTAACAAAGTGTTTCTAAGAAACCCTCCAAAGATGGCAGGTACACAGGAAACAGTGAATGAGCCTGAAGCTAATGGGACGAGATGCCTTCGTTGTCTAGGTAGTGTTCCGGCCCTGGAAAACTGTAGAAATGACCGGCACACACCCCATTCCTGAGCCGAGCGGGCGTTTTCTGTTCTTGCCTAGGCCCGAGCTGGTGGTAAAGAAGCTGCGATACTACGCGAGGTTCATCGTGGTCTGTCTGCTGCTCAACAAGATGGACGTGGTGAAGGACCTGGTGAAGGTGAAGGCCCCGCCGCCAGTCCGGTGCAGATGGCTTGTTCTGGAAAAAGCAGAGTATACACATTTCGGAATGGTCATGAGAGTATTTTCCAGCTCCGCATGTTTCCAACACATGTAGCACTCCTCAGAAATGATTATCTCAGTTCCTTGCTTTTGCCTCTGAAAAAAAATTTTTTTATTTCACAGCTGGGGGCAGGGGAAAAATATTTAAGAATTTTTTTCACAGCCTTGAGAATAAAACTTGGTTTGAGAAATGTTTGACAAACATAATGTTTCACAAAGTTATTGTGAATGAAGTTTAGTTTTTCCCTCCCTCAGCATCCTTCTTCCGTCAGTCATTCAGAGCGCTGAGTCAAGTGTGTTCAGAATCCACTTGACGTGTATCCAGTCTGCATGCTGGATTGAGATTGCAACTGCAGCCAACAATTTCAAAGGCGTGCTTGTTGGTCTCTCATACTCAGGCATCATGTGCCTGTCTCGCCGAGGCCATCATAGACAGCTCTGCATGCTTTTCTCTTGTCCTCCAAGCCCACTTACTATTTAGGACCATTCCCCAAAAAGCGTTAAGTGCAGATACGATGGGGTGCTATCAGACTCCGCTGCCGAGATAGCTGTGCGTAGACAGCGGGCCTCCACACAGAGCTTACTTGAGGTGTGTTGTTCCGGCCTTTTGTGGAAACACATCATGCAGGTTTCACTGTTTTTGGTTATAATCAACATTGTGCACTAAATCAGTCTCAAGCAACTGTGTATGTGTCTGTCAAGAATACGGCGCAATACAGCCATGCCTTTTTACGGGTTTTTTTGTTTTGTTTTGTTTTTTCCTTAAAATGACCCTTTTTAATTGCGATATTTTAAAATCCAGGAATTGTCAGATGAAATTGAGGATTATACTCACCGCTTTAATACCGAGGATCAAGTGGAGTGGAACTTGGTGCTTCAGGAAGTGGCAGCTTTCATTGAGGTCAGTTTTGGTAAACTTGGGTGAGTGTGTGGCTGTAAGGCAGGCGATCGTGACTGGGGCGTGTGTGTCAAGAAGCAAGGGCTTCCATCATTCACTTCTCCCCGCCCTGTTCTTCAGGCAGACCCCGTGATGGTCCTGAACGATGACAATACCATAGTTATCACCTCCAACCGCCTGACGGAAACAGGGGCCCCACTGCTGGAGCAAGGCATGATTGTGGGACAGTTATCGCTGGCAGATGCACTCATTATTGGTAATTGTAATAATCAGGTAAAGAATTGTGAAGGAAATTATGCTTAAAATTCCGGTGGAAAAATAGTGCCTTTCATGTTCACAGTCACCTGTTAGGAAATGGTGAATTGTGTTATATGTCCAGGTGGCATGGAGTATAGACATGGTAACAACTTAGGAAGGGAGACATGATACCTTAAGTGAATTGATCTGGAAACAATTATTTCACAGATGTTGGAATGTGATAATACATATGTATGCATAGTATTGGGGGAAAATATCTTACCAATTAAGACCGAGTTGTGGGGGATTTTAAGTATCTTCTTTGTAACTATAAACTCCATAATTTCTGTATATTACTTTCAAAAATTCAAAGAAGGGAAAGGTTAGTTTCTGTTTTTGTTTTATGAAAAAGTTACAAGAGGGAAGGTGAGACACAACCGAGGAGAGATCTTCCATATTTTGGTTGTCCAGATCCTCTGGTGCAGGGCCAGGCTGAGTCCAGCAGCCAGGAGCTTCAGCCAGGCCTCCCACAGTGGGTGCAGGGGCCAAGCCTGGCTCTGCAGGCAGGTCTCCAGCTGGGTGTCAGAGCCCCTGGCAGTTGAGCTGCCATGTGCTGCCTGCCACGGTGTATTAGCAGGAAGCTGCAACTGGAAGCAGAGATGCCAGAACTTGGTCTGGCATTGCTCCCCTTACTTTTAATGAAACCTCTTTTATAAATTAGGGCTTTTTCTTCTTCCTTCTTTTAAGAAATCGTTACAGTGGTCATGGTTGTTTTCTTGTATGCAGTCTCCCAAGGCTTTGGGTCGTCCTCTGCTGGTTTCCCAGGCCACAGACAGGGAACTACATGGAAAGTGGAGTAGCTGGGACACAAACCATCACCCACATCAGATCACGGCACGTGCAAAGCAAGGAGTTAGCCACTAGGCCATTGTGCCAGGCCCTGGTGTACTCTTTTTGACATGAAAATAGTGTAAGAGAAGTGGTTATAGGGCTGGCCTCATGGCACAGTTGACATGAGCTAAGCCTCCATCTGTAGTAGTGGCATCCCATATGAGAACCAGTTGAGTCCAAATTTATCCAGTCCAGCTACCTGCTACTTTACCTGGAAAAGCAATGAAAGTTGGCTCAAGTACTTCGGTCGCTGCATGCATGTGGGAGGCTTGGACAGAGTTCCAGGCTCTTGGCCTCAACCTTGCCTGGTCCTGGTCATTGTGGCCATTTGGGGAGTGAACCAGCAAATGGAAGAAACAGAGCTGACTCTCTCCCTCTTTCTGTAACTCTGCCTTTCAAATAGACTATGGGATGGAGGGGGTAGGAGGGAAGTAGCTGTGTGACAAGTGTCTGGCCCTGTGCAGTGGTTCAGGTCATGCTTTATTGAGCCGTCAACCATATTTGGAAAATTTCAGCTTCATAAACTTTGCTTGCTTAAATTTGAATTGAGGAGAATTCCAATTTTTATTTATTCTGGTTAAAACTGCAACAAATGAATTAGGTGTTTGAAACTTTAGTGAATAACCCTTCATAAATAGATTATTGCTTGGACTAAACACTTCTTTTTTTATTTTATAGAAACAGATACTTTAAAAATTCTCATGTGCCTACCTTAAGTTCTATATAAATATTTCTCAAAATAGATAAGGATACCTTGTTAAAACCACAACATGCCAGCATGTGTTGAAGGGATTGTAAAATAGTGCTTACAACCCAATTTCAGTCTGATTCACCAAAAGTTAATGTAAATGTAGAAGCTGATACAGTCTCTGTGTTTTGCAACTGCTTTTGTTTTTAAAACTGAAAATAAAGCTGAGGCTAAGTAGAGGTGTCGAGGTGGAGAGGTGTGTATCAACACAAATATTAAACGTGCTGATGCAGGATCTGAACAAGCACTTTGGGGGATCGCCAGAGAGTTCTTCCAACCTGTTTGTTTTCATAATGAATTCAGAATGATGCCCTGCATAATTAAGTGCATGTGAGACATCAGGACTAAACACGTGCTGCTAAAGAGTTGAGAGTCTCCTGGCTCCAATCGTGACCACATGTGCTTTGTTTACAGGTGAAGTTCAGCGAACTGACCGTTGACATGTTCCGGATGTTACAAGCCTTGGAGAGGGAGCCCATGAACTTAGCTTCCCAGATGAATAAGCCAGGAATGCAGGTGACCTTCTCTTGCACTTGGGTCCTTCGGGGAATGCAGCCTGTTTCTCAGCCAGTGCTGTCCACACGAATAGAGAGTCCCCTTGGTGGGACCTCAAGGCAGTCAGAGGAATTTCAAGTCCTGAGGGTGTTTGGTACAGGGTAGCAAAACTCAGCATCGACAGTTCCTGCATTGAATGGAGCCCATATGATAGTGTTTTCTCTGGGAAAATGTAGGAATCGGGCGACAAGCCGACCCGACGAGAAAACCCGCACAAGTATCTGCTCTACAAGCCGACCTTCAGCCAGCTGTACACGTTCTTAGCAGCGTCTTTTAAGGTATGTGTGCCCCAAGTGGAGTGTGAGAGTCTGTGCACTGAAAGTTGGGGTCAAGAGTTTAAGTAGAAGCTGGTACTATGGTATATTGGGTAAAGCCACCACCTGTGGGCTAGCACCCGCTATGGGCCCCGGTTGGATTCTGGGTTGCTCCAGTTCTGATCTAGCTCCCTGCTAATATGTCTGGGAAAGAAATAGGGGATGAGCCAAGTTTTTGGGCTCCAGAACCCATACAGAAGACCCGGAAGAAGCTCCTGGCTACTGGTTTCAGATCGCTCAGCTCCAGCCATTTGGGGAGTGAACCCATGAATGGAAGGTCTCTCCTCTCCCTCCCTCCCTTCCCCTCTCTTTCCCTCTGTAACATTGCCTTTTAAGTAAATAAGTAAATCTTTACCAGAAAAAGTTTAAGTAAAATAGGAAAAATGAAGAACTGTTTTGACTGTTCCTCCCATTAATGAATGGGAACATCAAGTGCCATTCTGCCTCCAGGCGTTTGTCACTGCACTGCTGCTACTTTGATGCAGTGGCCAACAGACCTGAGTGTGCAGGCGTGTGATCTCTGCCACATTTTGTCATTTGAACCAACTGGGAGAATCAGAATTCCTCCTAAAACCCTCCCTCCACCGCATCCCACCCACCTTTAGCCACGACTTCCTTTTGGAGTGTTTGGAGAGTATTCTCCAAATGCTGAGGTTTAGTAACAGAGTGTCTTCGCAATATGTGGCAGTTGTTCTGGATTGTAGATTGTGAATGACTTGGTGCAGTGTAGATGGTGTACCTCAGTCCATCAAGAGTGATTGTTTACAAGAGGGGAAGTGGTTGACTTGGGTTCCTGTTTCCTTGACAACGTCCTTGTGAAGTCTGAATGCCGCTGGGCAGCCCTTCCTGCAGGTCGGTTTGTATGTGTGATTATCTGTCATTTCAGGAGCTGCCTGCCAACAGTGTGCTTCTGATTTACCTGTCTGCCACCGGTGTTTTCCCCACAGGTCGTTCTGATAGTGAAGGTACAATAAAGGAATGCTCCCTGTCGTGAGCAGGGCTTGAATTCTCTTTATTTTCTACAAGACAATGGCTCGTAGCACACAGACCCTCGCAAGACTGCCAGCAAGGCTTCCAAACTTTGCAGCCTGGCCTATTTATTAAATTTGGCAATCTTGCAGATACCCCAGTCTGTTGTATTTGATGGCAGATTCTGTCTTGAAGTACAAAAAATCATTGGATAATTTAGCTATTAAATGCATGCTTTTGCTATCAAATCTGCTAAAAGCATTGTAGAAATATGTGTAACACATCACACATACACATATACTATATTTATTTTATATGTGCCTGTGTGTATATATATATATATATGTATATAATATATGCATCTTGAATTTGAGAAGTATGATGGTAGAATCAAGCCGGTAGAATGCTTCTCATCACAGGAAGATATGCTCAGTGGCTGCCCCACGGCCAGACGTCCTTGTAGAAATCAGTACAGTTTTGTAACTGGAAGTTCAAGTCCTTGTGAAAGATGTTGTTCTCTGTCCTTTCCTCTTATTTATTTTGGATTCAGTCTATACAATATTGGGATGTTATTTCAGAATAAACCCTCAAAACTGTCCAGAAATCAATGAGTAAATGAGTCAAAAAGGCAATTAATACTTTATCTGGGGAAAAACATTTCTTGACATCTGTGACGTTTTCCTCTTCATCTGTTTGTTGAAATCTGCATTCCTTTATAAAGCGCATGACCCTGCCATCTTCCCCGCATGACCTCCAGATTCTCTTAAAATGTTAAAAATGAAAGCAAAGTAGATCTTGGTAGCCCTTCTCTTGCAGTGACTATTTTTTTTTAAAGAGATAGAATACAGCATTTAATGTTGAATGGGATTCAGAAATCTTACGTTTTTTAGGTTTTGCTTGTAACGAGGTTAGTGATTCTATTTATAAATACCTATTTCTGTGGTTTTCCCTGCCTAACATGTTGGTCTCTTATTTCTCCTTTGTTCATTGCAGTGTAGGTAATAAACAAGTCGTACCGTGAGAGAGATTACCCCAACACACCACTATCGCCTTGTTTACCTAATGCATAATGACAAGTTTACCTAATGCGTAATAGCCAATGGGGAAAGACTCATCAAACCCAGAGTTAAAGTCGCTGATATAATTATGATAACAAAGGATTCTGCACATATTACATCTTGGCAGTGTTTTTTGGGAAAATCAAAATTTGTCAGAATTTTCTAATTCTACTTTTTTTTTCTAAATTTTGCACTTAGTCTTATTTGAGATCATATTTTTAAATGATGAAAATTCCCACCTGCAGCTTTCTTTGTAGAATCATCTTGCTTAAAGCTTGAGGCCCTTTGCACATCCAGGTCTTCCATCTTTGGTTTCCTGGAGTCCTGGGATGCTGTAGCCTCTTGTTTGGTTTCTCGCAGTAAGCCAAGTGAAGAGCTGATGAATGACCACATTTCTAAAGGGCTGTTGATCAGGAAACGGGCAGAAGTCATTCAATATTCCATTAAATTAATTTGAAAATGCCTTCAATGTTTTGTGAGTGTCTTGCACTTCCTTGAGTGAGAGGGTCGCCCCATGTGCTGTGTGGGAATGGCAGTACCAGCACTCCAGCTGAAGCCTGGGATTCCTCCCTTTGTTTTACAGGCCCTTATGACTTCGGAGGCGTGCTTACCAACAGTAACCGGGATATCATCAATGGAGATGCCATCCACAAACGGAATCAACCCCACAAGGAGATGCACTGGTATGTGCTCTGCGCGCTCCCCCTTGTAGAAGAACCATAGCATGCTGGCTTGCTCTCTTGTAAATTATGCAATGAAATGGGGCTTGTCTCTAGCACTAGGAAACTTCCAAGTTTACTATGATTAATAGCACCTATTTGGGTTCCAGTAATATTTTAGGCTCTCCTTAGCCCAGGATATTAGTATTAGGGGCTTCTGCTCATTGAACAAATTCTTTATAGAGTATCCATTGTGTGTCAGGCTGTGTGATCACTGGGGATGTGTCAGGGAACAAGGTTCCATGCTAGTTGGAGACAGGAAGTGCATGCATAGATAAATACTGCTCCGACACATGATGTGTTAGTGTCTGTGCCACCTGCTCACGTACGGCTCTGCTGGGAGGCTGCAGCACTGGTGAACCCTGCGGGGTGAGCTCCAGTAGGACTGTGCCTGTGAAGGGTTTGTTCTTTTTTATGTGTTTGTTTGTTTGTTTGCTTGCTTGCTTATCTTTTAAAAGATTTTATTTTTATTGTAAAAGCAGAGATACAGAGAGCAGGAGAAACAGAGAGAAAGCTCTTCTGTCCAATGGTTCACTCCCCAAGTAGCCGCAATGGCTGGAGCTGAGCCAATCCGAAGCCAGGAGCCAGGAGCTTCTTCTCGGTCGCCCACTCAGGTGCAGGGTCCAAAGGCTTTGGGCCGTCCTCTGCGTTCCCAGGCCACAAGCAGGGTGCTGGATGGGAAGCAGGGCTGCCAGGATTAGATGCGGTGCCCATATGGGATCCTGGCACATTCAGGGCAAGGATGTTAGCCACTAGGCTATCGTACCTGGGGGTTTATTCTTTTACCAAGTAGCACCTTCACAGCTTTGGCCCTTAACCACTCTGGAGTTTCTGTATCTGAGAGATAGCAGCCTGATTACAAAGAAAACTCGATATGTGCAAATTTTACATTTTTTAAAACATTTATTCAGTCTTTATTGGAAAGGCAGATATACAGACAAAAGGAAAGACATAGCAGTCTTCCATCCATTGGTTCACTCAGCCACAATGGCCAGACCTGAGATGATCCAAAGCCAGGAGCCAGGAGTTTCTCATGGGTCTCCTACATGGATGAATCTGGGCCATCCGCCACTGCTTCCCTGGGACATCCGTAAGGAGCTGAATCAGAAGAGAAGCAACCAGGAGTAGAACTGGTGCCTGAGCAGGATGCCATCACCACAGTCCGAAGCATAACCTATTACGTCATAGTGCCAGACCCGAAACCATGTTTTGAATAATGCTTCTTGTAAAAATCTCAACTATTGGAGCCCAGCATGATAGCCTAGTGGCTGAAGTCCTCACCTTGCTACACTGGGATCCCATATGGGCGCCAGTTCTAATCCTGGCAGCCCTGCTTCCCATCCAGCTCCCTGCTTGTGGCCTGGGAAAGCAGTGGAGGACGGCCAAAGGTCTTGGAACCCTGGACCCATATAGGAGATCGAGAAGAGGCTCCTGGCTCCTGGCTTCAGATCGGCTCAGCTCCAGCCATTGCGGCCGCTTAGGGAGTGAATGATGGATGGAAGATATTCCTTTCTTTCTTTCCTCTCTGTATATCTGCTTTTCCAATAAAAGAAAATTGTTTTAATGTCAACTGTTAATGATTAGGGAAGGGAGAGCTTCCACGTGGATTTGTTGAGTTGCATGTCTAGTGGCTAGAGGTCGCCCTTAGTTGTAAATTACTTGCTCAGAAACCATAATCAGCATTTTAAAAAGTGTAGAACGTTGCTAATCATCAGGGAAAGCAAACGAAAAGCACAAGCAGGCATCACCTGTCACTGTGAGGATGGCTGTTTCCCAGAGGACCAGAGAGATGTCCCGTAACATCCAGGGTTCAGTTCCCACATCCAGCTGCTGATGACAGCACCTGCTAATGCCAACCCTGTGGCAGGGAGTGGTGTCAGTAAGGGTTCAGTTGATTGGGTTCCTACTACCCATGAGGAGGAGCTGGGCCGTGTTCCCAGCACCCCTACCTCCCTCACCCCTGCTAGGGTAGAGCAGGGTCATTTGTGGGCGTTTGGGGAGTGAGGCAGCAGATAAAAGGTTCCCTCTTCTTCTCCCTCCACTATACTCCCTTTCAAATAAACAAATTAACAAACATTAAAACTTGACTTTTAGTACCTTGTATGTATATATAGAATGAAGTGTTCGTTATGCTAAGGGAAATAAGCTACACAAGGAAAGACAAACTGACAAACCCTGTGCAGTCTCACTTCTGTGTGGAATCTGAAAAGTTGAACTTGGGGAGCAGAAAGAATGATGTTTGCCCACAAGTGGAGAGTAGGGCAAGAGGGGAGACCTTGGTCAAGGCCAGCAGCTTGTGATTCCTGGCCAGCTGAAGACGGGAGGTGGCTGGAGTCAGCAGCCCCATGGCATGTCCTGCACATCTGCTCAGAGTGGATCGCAGGTGTCACACACAGTGGTCTTGTGTGGGGGTGGAGGTATTGATTCGCGTGGTCATGGTAATCACTAGGCAGGAATATATCAAATCAAAATGTGAATATCAGCAGTTATTGTTTTCAATTGAAAAAACTGTACTTGAATTACATATTTTAAAATTTTTATTTGCACATTTTAAAATTTAAAAGTTGCATATTTAAAAAATATGAAAACATTGAATTTTGATGTTGCTGCTCATTGACATGACAGTTCATTATATGCTGCGTTCATTTACATTAATATGTATATGTACGTGTTTATATGTACATACACACATTGTCCTGTGAAAGAGCTGGCATCAAGATTCTGGCTGCCTCAGTCAGGGGCTCTCAAATGCCTGGGCCTGCACTTCAGCCTGGGGTCCACCCGATGGCCTGTGGGCAGGTGATGCTGTGTCCACCGGAAGTCCTCAAGGTGATTCTGACGTGCGTCTCCAGAGGAAATGCAGAGGAGCAGAGAGGTTTCTGTACTCACTGTTGACAATGAAGTGCAGCTTGAAATGTCAAACATCTGCAAAAGGAAGACTCAGGGATGGACTACTATGTGTTACTGCCTTTTGATTTCAAAACATTTTCATTAAAGGAGCTCTGAAATGTGGGGCAAGTTCTATATGCCAGCTTCTGAGGTTTCCACGCCATATCTAGCCATCTCGAAATATATTAGGCCTCTCTTTAGTTTAGACCTTGGTGAGTCCTATTCAAATAAAAGTAGCTTGACCATTTTTTAGTATATAAATAACTTTTGGGCCTTTGTCATCTTTGTGCTGTGATGAAAAAAGAGTGAAGAACCTCAGGCATAGGGCGTCTGGGCCGTGGCCAGTGAGTGGACGAACCTCGGGCCTAGGGCGTCTGGGCCGTGGCCAGTAAGTGGACGAACCTCGGGCCTAGGGCGTCTGGGCCGTGGCCAGTGAGTGGACGAACCTCGGGCCTAGGGCGTCTGGGCCGTGGCCAGTGAGTGGACGAACCTTGGGCCTAGGGCATCTGGGCCGTGGCCAGTGGGTGACGCTGTTGTTGCTTGCTGTTTTCCCAGCCTTCATCCTGGAGACCTGTATCCTTTCACCAGGAAGCCTCTCTTCATCATTGTGGATTCATCCAATAGCGTGGCCTACAAGGTGAGTTCTGTCGGTGCTCGTGCACCTGGGGACTGAGTGGCACCCAGCCCAGAGGTGCCCGCTTTACTTGGGCCTTTTTGTGTTGCTTCCTTTTCTTAAATTTTGCAGTTTGTATTTAGTGTTTCTTTCCTTTTGAGGTTGTGCATGCTAGTCAGGATCTGGCGCTATGAATAGAAACAAGAAGAAAACACAGGAATGGACACTCCGAGAGGACAATAATAAATCCTCTTGCAGGGAAAAAAAATTTCAACATTTCCAAGATCTCTGGCGGGAGGTTTATTTCCGTTGTATAACCAAGAATACTTCATCATTTTAGAGGTAGATGTATACATGAGTGATTTTTACTTTGTAATTTTTGAACTTTTCCCACCAATACATTGCGCTGCCATAGTTTGAAGTTTCTTACATTATACAGATATGGTCTTTGAATATTGAAATAGTGTTTTATATACAGAGTGTGTGTGTGTGTGTGTGTGTGTGTGTGTGTGTGTGTGTGTGTGTGTGAGTGAGAGAGAGAGAGAGAGAGAGAGAGAGTCAGGAAAGTAGATGGCCCTGAATGCTGAGAATGTGACCGACGTCTAACTTTAATTTAATTTAATTTACTTATTTGGCATTTAAGCAATTGTGCTTTTTTTTTCCCAAGATGCATTAATTTATTTGAAAGGCAGAGTTAACAGAGAATGAGTGAAGCAGAGGGCCATCTTACATCTACTGATTTCACTCCGCAGTTAACCACAATGAAGAGTGGAGCTGGCCCAGGCTACAGCCAGAGCTCCATCTCTGAGTCTCCTGCATGAGTGCCAGGGCCCCAAGCACTTAAACCACCTTGCTTCTGCAAGGCCATGGGTGCAGAGCTGGATTGCAAGTGGAGCGGCCAAGACTTGAACCAGCATGCACATGAGTTAGCCACACCACAGGTGGCAGAGCAGGCAGCTTAGTTCACTGCCCCATGGTACCAGCCCCTGAAGTAGTATTTTTAGTGGCAAAAGAGAATTCCATCAGTCAACATTTTAAGGTTAAACATTAGAATTCCAACTATAGCAATTTGCAAACAACAGCAACAACACATCACCTTTAGAGTCCTTTGTGTCTGGTGAGAACGCTTAATCAGTGAACAGTATGTGCAGAAGCATGCCGGTCACACCAATGTGCCACTTACAAAATCGCTTCTATTGCACGTCTCCATTCTTGCAGTTAAGCCAAGCAGCCGTATCTGTAGGTGTGTTTCCAGAAAACAGTGGCAATGTCTGGTAACAAAGAGAGCTGAATATGTTTTTCATTTAATTTTCATGTTTAGTTAAATTAAACTTTTTAAAAAAGATTTATTTATTTTTATTACAAAATCAGATATACAGAGAGGAGAAGAGACAGAGAGGGAGATCTTCTGTCTGATGATTCACTCCCCAAGTGAGCACAATGGCCAGTGCTGTGCCGATCCAAAGCCAGGAGCCAGGAACTTCCTTCAGGTCTCCCACGTGGGTGCAGGGTCCCAAGGCTTTTTGGGCCATCCTCCGCTGCTTTCCCAGGCCACAAGCAGGGAGCTGGATGGGAAGTGGAGTAGCTGGGATTAGAACTGGTATCCATGTGGGATCCTGGTGCGTTCAAGGCGAGGAGTTTAGCCACTAGGCCACAGTGCTTGGCCCAAATTAAACTCTTAATTCTAACAGTATTCCACCTACCCTGAATTGTTTTGTCAAATTTATTTATTCTTATTTGAAAGATAGATTTACCAGGAAGGACAGGCAGAGAGAGAAGTCTTCCCTGCAGTGGTTCACTCCCCAAATTGCTGCATCCACCAGAGCTGAGGTGACGTGAAACCAGGGTGAGGCTTCTGGCTTCAAACTAGTCCAGCTCGGGTTACTGTGGCCATTTAGGGAGAAAATTAGCAGATGGAAGATCTTTTCCTCCACTTCTCCTTCTCTCTCTACAAATCTCTTTCAAGTAAAAATTTTAAAAAAACCTCTAAAAAATTTTTTTGTTTCAAAGGCAGAATTAGTGGGGGGAGACAAGAGGAGGGAGCAGGATCTTCCATCTGCTGGTTTACTCGCGAGAAGGCTGCATGGCTACGGCTCCCCCAGGCTGAGCACAGCCACCTGAAACTGCATCAGGATCTTGCACAAAGCACTTGGGCCATCTTCCACTCCTTCCAGATGCATTGGCAGGAAGCCAGATGGGAAGTGGAGCAGAGTCCTGGCAGCCCTGCCTGCACCATCATCCTGATGCCTTTTTTTCTCAGAGTATTGTCATCCTTACTTTTCACATTTCAGGAAGGAGTCTACTAAACAGGAAAATTGGAAGGATATGGCCTAGGCCTTGTCTCAGTTAAACCATAGCATCTAGTTGGGTAATTCTTGTCCATATTGTGAGGTCCTCTTTCCTGGCTATTCACATTTACCACAGAAGACTGTAACTGTGTTAGCAGCATGTTTTCCCCTTCTGAATTGTGCGCGTGTATGTGTTCATATACACCTATGCTTTTTCAAAAAAGGCTTATTTGTTTGTTTAAGAGAGCGATCTTCCATCTGCTGGTTCACTCCTCAGATGGTTGCCAGGGGTTTCATCCAGATCTTCTACATGGATGCAGGGACCCACAGACTTTAACATCCTGAAATGCTTTCCCAAACACATTAGCAGGAAACTGGATGGAAGTGGAGCCACTAGAATTCACTGCAGGCAGTGGCTTCATTCAGTACATCACATTGTAGGCTCCATACGCAGCTGACGTTATGTTACAGTGAATGACTTAACCAAAGGCACTGTTGACCTTCCATCGTATTTAAGGACATTTTGCCTGTGGACGCAAAAACATCTTTCCTGAGGCCCCTAGCACCATTGCGAAGAGGTTTGCACACCAGTCTGTGCCAGAGTCCAGCTCCAGCCGAGTTCGGAACTCCAGAGGGGTGTGAGGAGTAGGTGTAAAAAGAAATGAAAGGGACCACTACAATTTCAGGATGCTAATGGACAATGCAAGAAAGCTGTCCTCTTTATGCAGAAGCAGTCACAAACTCTGGCACCGAGTTTCCACACCTGGTCAGGCGGGCATTCCTAAGGATAGTTCTGCCAATTGTTTCACCTTGAGGCAGGATATCAGCCGTCCTAATCCTGAGGTCAGGAAGTTCTCAATAAACGGCACATATCAATCGGTAGCATTCCTTCTGCAATCCTCATTCTACAGCTTAGTCTTGAATCAGTTAAGGGGAGGAAATGCATCACAGAAGGAGGGACCTAAAGATGAAGGAAAGAAGGAAAAGAACCCTAAACATAGATTCCCACTACACCCAGGGACTTAACACCCTTGATTAACATATTGTCAGTGCGGGCAGCTTAGACAGCATGAGTAGTAAAAGGCCCTTTTGCCAACATCAACTTCCAAGCTCTCATTGATAGTAAAGACCAACTCCCAGCAGCAGACAATGCCTAAATAGAATACAGGATTCTCAGTGGGTTGTCCAGTGTCCGTGCGAAGGAAGGTGGAACTGCCTTCAGGTGGTTGTAGAGACATCAGCAGGGCCCTGCCATGCAGCAGGAAATTCCTTGTGGCCTTGCCTACAATGGAACAGTTCTCTTCACACCTTTGTGTCCTCCACACCCACTGCCAGGACCCCAGCAAGTCTGTACCATGTTTTAGTGGAAAGTGATTAAACTATTGGGGTCTGTGTGACAGGAGTGGCCCCTGTGTGGCTCTTAGGTGTCTGCTGGAGTAAACTAGGCCATTTGGTTGGCCTACTTATTTTTATTTATTTATTTATTTATTAGCAGTCTTGACATAATTAGGGTAAAAAGGTTCAAGCACTACAGGAAGATGGGTAAGACAGTTAGTTCCATATTATTTCCTTAATATATCTGTTGTAAAAGGAGATTTTAAGGAAGAGGACCCACCCAGTCTCCCACCCACCCCAGGTCCCAGGTGTGGGGCATGCTCCGAGAGTCTTGCTCAAGTGGTTCTGATTATTCAACAGTTTTGAATTACTGCCACTCACACCACTCCAAGCACAATACGGTTGTTGGAGATTCCACTCATCGACATAGTCCATCATAGTGTCTCTGTTTGTCCAGTATTTTCATTGCCAACATATAGCTGAAGTGGTTGATTGACTTGTTCTGCCTGTCATTTGATGGTTAGCGTTCTGAGTCCGAAAGCTCGACTGGGGGGATCCCCAAAGAAACTTTGTCTGAGGTATTCCCAGACCTGATTATTGTATGTGCTAGCAAGCACAGGGCCTGGCACAGTCCTTTACCCCAATCAGCGGATGGTTGCAGTTGTTGGGTTGGTTCTGTTTCCATCCCTGTCTTCCTCTGGAACCAATGGGTGTTGCAGTCCAGGCTGGTTCTGCCTATTGTGTACTTGGCCCTCACATAAACCAGTGGGAGCTGCAGCCTACTCGGAGCGACCCACAATAACCCCCACCAGGCCCGCACCATGCCCTGGTTTGCCAGTGTGTCCCACATTCCCTTCTGCTCTCATACATGTCAATGGGTATTAAAACCTTGTTCATCTAACCAGCTCAACTGTCCAGCCTTCACGGATGTTGTTGGGTGTCTGTCTAGGCACCCCAGCCCCTGTCCTGGTTTTCGTGCCCTCCCATAGGGGGTGGCAACCCAAGAGGAAGGAGCCCACTATTTCCCTCCCAGGCCACTCCCAGATTATGCACTCTCCAGGTGGTTCTGTGGTTTAACTTGACAGAACTAGCCCCCAATGCCAGCCTCTGACAGCTGATGTTGTGGTTAAGCCCAAACAACCCTCACACACTCTAATTGTAGATTGCACCAGTAGGAATAATCAGCCCAGCCTGGTTTTTCCCCGATCTGGGCCACATGAGGCACACAGGTGTCGTAGCCCTGCCTAGTCTGGTCTGCTCCCATCCCAGCGCATGCTCTCCAGTGGGAGTAGCTGTTCAGCAAGAGGAGCCCATATTCCCCTGCCAGTTCTGCCCCCTCCCTTCTTGGTTCTCGTGTGTGCTGGTTGGGTGCTGTAGTCGCATCTGGCTCAGGCAACCTCA